ATTCATTAGGGAAAAGGCACTGAATGTACATTGTTCATTACTCAGGGGCATCTGCAGGTGGTTAGTGTGTGCAGGTTGGCTAGTGTATATCACTTGCAATGGCCTTGTGAATTCATCGATAGATTTCTCAACCACTGCAATAGTTCAGAGAAAGCTGATTTTTTGTAAAGTTAGGTTTCATACTGTAATGGTGTTGTATGGAGATACACACTCTGGATGGTGCTTGAAAGCAGCTGGGAAGCCAAGTGGGTGCAAGAACATACGTCAAAAGTGGCACCGACCTGTGCCAAGGAGTATATTAAGGCATTTCATGCTACATTAGCTGCAGTTTCCCAGTGTGGTTTTCAGCAGCGCACAGTTTGGGGATCAGTTTGGGTTTTGCTTGGAAGTCCAAGTGAGCTCTGTGATAAGAATTACTCCTTTCATCCCAGAGCTACATTGAAATGTTTCCAGCCACAATTTAGACAAATAGAGAATGTCCTATAGTATTTTGGGTCAGAAAACTTTTCACGGTTAAAAAGATGATAAAATACTGGTAACTTTAGGAACTTAATATACTTTTGGAAGGCAAGTTTTGAGAACACACATTAAAGGCAGGTGATTTATCTTACCTCCAGCAAGTCTTCAGCTGAGATGCTTCTTTTTTTTTTTTTTACAAACAACTCAGAGACAGTGAAAAGCTCTTGGTATAAATCCAGTTGCCCCAAAGTCAATGAGGCTAGGATGCCAGACTGTGCATTTAGCTACAAGGATTATTAAGCCTCTAAAAACAGTGAGTGCAATGAATTTGTGATTTTGGAAATGTGAATGTAGAAAACCTTTATATTTGCAAGGCACGACAGTGAGGAGCTACACGGAAAATAATAATGGGGTCATTAAGAATGGGCAAAGATACAGACCTCATTTGTATATTTTATTCCTACAAAATGACAATATTTTGCTCAGATTTACTGACTGTTGTCAACTCTTACACTATTTGAGAGTCCTGTTACCTTTGCTGGTTTCCTTTAATCTCCAAATCCTAGAGAGAATGATTTTGTGAGAAGTTCAGATTTCTTCTGTTAAAAACGTAAGTTTTTACGTATCATGCTTGCAAAGAAAGCAAATTAAAGGTACATTAAAAGTCCATCATTAAGAAAAGAAGTCTCATGATTTTTTTTGAGCCTTGACTCATTGTTTTTGAATGGTTGGAATTAGCAATACTTGATTTTTTTTGCAATCCATACAAACTTATATTTGCTGAAGCCTTTTTTTGGCCGTTCTTTTATATTCCATTAACTATGTTTTCTTACTGAAAGACTGACGGAGATCTTCTAGTTTAATGTCCATAAGTATTATGAATACCACGTTTATGTATGCTCCTTTAAAAGGTATAAAACAGTCTACTAAAGTTTCTATATTTATTTGTATTATAGTAACACTATAGAAATGTAATAAAATATAGCATAGTTATTACATTATTAGAGAGCTCACCCCAATCTGTGCTAGGCACTGCCTAAGCACATTGTAAGAGGCAGCTCTGCACCTTTTGAGATTAGAAAGATCAAGGGGACAGATGTTTGGATGAGTGAGTTGAACAGGGCTACACAGCAGCTTACGGCAGAGCTGAAAATGCCACTTAGCTTTCTGGTCCAGTACCCTATCCACTATAACATATCTCCATAAAAATACAGGGTTTGAGAAGCAATTAGCAATTTGTGTTGAGTGTGAAATGTAACAGATTTTCTCACATAGAACACAACCCAGAATAAAATAAACACCTTGTTTTTGAAAGTCAGAACAAAGAAAAAAGATCTTTCCTTGTAGTAAGTAACTGAGTAACAGCAACTAGGGAGCCAAGACTTCACCATTCGGCTCCTTGTGGATTGCATGGACTTTCATTTTGCCTGGCTGAAGCTTAAATGACAGAAATTGCTGTTACCATTTCCTCACATAAACACACACTCCAATTTCTAACAGCTGGTTTCTGGAAAAAGGGTGCTTGGTATGCAAGAAAATATGGTACTTTCCCCACTAATCTATTAGGTTTCATGAGTCCTTACTAATGTGATCCAAGGTCCATTGAAGACCATGAAAAGGCTCATAATAACTTCTCCAGATATTAGAGCAGATTTATATTATTTAAAAAAAAAAAAGATCTTTTGGCAGAAGTTCTTGAATTTCTCACTCAGTAATAAACAAAACTATTCAAATTATTTCTGCATAAACATTCATACTTGTCATAGTTACACAGCCTACTAGCTTTGGGTCTAATGTTGAAAGCTAGAGGCTTCATCCTTGTGTTCCTTTGTGGTGAGCCAAAACTTCCTTCACATGTGGCAGCGAGCACAGTGATTACAAATGACAAACTGTAATGGCCCCCCAGTCCTTGTATTGAACACTTGATTTGAGAACAAAAAGACATGTACCAAACTGCATTATGAAAGATATTTAAAGAGGTATCAGATGCTCTTTATACAAAACAATTACTGACTCTGCCACACGAAGAAAAGTTTCTTTAACATCTTAATTGATTTCTTACACACTTTTTTATTTCAGCAGATACAAAAAATATAATAGATGCAAATGGCTCGCTCTCTTTAAAATGAAATACAATCTAGAAGAGGAAAAGGCTGAAATGAGAAACCACTATCCTGTTTTTGCTACAACCACCAAAAAACTCATATAATGGCAGGATGAACCTGACTCCAGCTGCAGATGAAAGGAAGGGCAAAGGGCAAGTAGAAATTATTGCCCAATTTATAAAAGTTTAAGACATATTTTTACAAATACTTCTTTTGAAGATTTTAATCAGCAATATAGTTTTCTTTATAAAAGCATCATTTAGTTCAGTGTCTACTTATACACCTCCATAGTAAAAGGTAACAAGGACTGCCAGTAAAGCCAGGCTCACAGACAGTATCTTTAGTCCACGTCCTCTTTGTTGCCATGGAATTTGCATCACCATCCTGCAGCACAATGATGTTTTTTCTTGAATCCCAACAGAAGGGCATGTTTTCAAATTTGTGCCATTCTTCAGTGCATGTCTAAGCTCCTGTGGAGAAATGCAGGAATCAAATCAGGACTGTGTGTGAAGTACACTTGATGCTGTATATCAAGTACAAAACAACAGAAACAGCAACAAATTCCCTTCTAAGGCAAACAATAATTCAACCTGTCTGCATCATGAATTCTTCCTCCTTAGTTCATTTGTTTCTCACGCAGGGAAAGAATTCTCACTGATGCCATATTAAGTCAGGCTTTTCTATGGAATTAATTGTCAAATCAATAAAGCTGTTAGCAGCAAAGACAGATTCCTAGGCAACAATATAGTCCAAATGACATTTTTTCTTAGGTCTTTTTTTTTTTTTATCCCATCTTACCACTCTTCCATTCTTTGGTTCCTTCAAATAGGAACATCTAGCTAGGAAAAAAAAAGGGACCAGAAACGCTACAATCTTTGGCACAGCAGGACCCATCCAATGTCAATCACTGCCTCTGTCCACGGCATGCCAATGCAACTGTGCTTGAAAATCCTCCCACAGGGCTTTTCCCCCGACTCTCAGGAGGCAGCTGTGCTGAAACACTCACCTTCTTGTTCAGCATATTGAGTCTTTGATTTCCCTGCTGAGGCTGCCATTACTGTTCTTTACCTGATTAAAAATACCAAGAGCAGCAGAACCTATGTTTGCAGTGTTGTTATGCATGTTGAGTCATTGTTTAAGCTTAAAATCCAAATGGTACCCATATGCCTATGAAAACTGTTGTCCACTGCAACATGTACCCTCTTCAATAGAGTTTAAATGTAGTTCAATATTTGCAATAAGTGCCTTTAGAAATATACCTGAAAGGTGGCAATAACAATGGAGAAAAGTGTAAACAATATATATATGTGTGTGCATGCGTGTGTGTGCGTGCACATGCATGCGTGCGCACATGTGTGCATTATAGCCAGCTTCCTTTACCCATTCCAGAACTGGCAGACATGGAATTAAATGTGTGATAGGATCTGATGTGCGATTCCAACAATTGTGCTTCCTGCCATGCTACAACTGCATGGCAGGAGGTGCAACTGTGGAATCCAGCAGCAGTTCCCAACAGCTAATGCAGGGGAGGCCGAAATCATGATTCTAGGATCCCCCTGCACTGGCAGGTTGGGTGCCTGACAATCAGCCGATTGTTGGCTGGCTCCAGCAATCCACAGGGCCGTTTAAGCCCATGCGTGGTCACACAGCTGACCAATGACTGGCTGCTCACTGGCAGATCAGGACTGCCTCAAGGCTTCAGTCCTGGGGCAGGCCCTATTGGAAGTTGGCTGGAAGGGATCACCCTGGGGTTCCAGCCCTGGAGCAGTTCCTGCTAGCTGACAATCAGCTGATCATCACAGCTCTGGGGTTTGAGTGATCAGCTGATCAGGATGGCCCCATGGTTCAAGCCCCTGTGCCACCCCCATCTGCTATCAGCTGGCAGACTGGTACCACCACAGGGCTCAATCGGGGACTCTTTCCCTAGGCAATCCCTGCCATCTGATGATCAGCCCATCAGGAGAGCCCTGAGGTTTGTGCCCCAGAGCCATCTTGTTCAGCTGTCAGTTGGCAGGGACCACGCTGGGGCTCCAACCCTGGGGCAGTCCCTGCATGATGTGTCACACGTTGAAGTTATGGCATGATACAAATGAGCAACACAGATATTTCTGGCATGATTAACATCTTAATAGTGTCAGAAAAGTAACATGTGCCACGGGTCTATGCTACATTACATATACATTACATTACATTCTATTTGGGGAAGACAAATATTATTATAATAGCAGAGGTAAATAAACATCAAAAGGGCAAAATGACAGCTTCAGGTAAGTGCTATTTTAACATCTGAGGTGTTGCAGATTTAGAGTATAAGCAATTCAGGTGGAGGATTACTGAACACATGGCCTAGAAAATGAAAACTACTTTTAAAAACTGCAAGTAGAAGATTATCATGACTGAGTGAAAAGTAAATGGGTAAGTGCATTGGAACACAGTGCTTTCATCACAATATAATGCATACAAATTGCTTTGTCCTGATAGGCAGAGCAATTAAAATTAATTTCAAAAGCATCTGAAAAATTAATAACTGGCTACAGTTATTTTATTCCAAAAGTCAAAGTCAATTAACCTTTACATGCAGAATAAACTGGAAGCAATAGCATATCAATCATTAAGAATTTTATTTATTTGAAACAAAACTACCTAGTAATATAATATTTTCTAATTAAAAGTTGGAGGAAAGCTGCTCTTCTTGCAAGTCCTACAGGATTCTGTTCTTCCTAGACAAATTTCTTTCCATGGCCAAATAAAATATTAGATATCTTTCTTAATACCATAGGTCAGACTGATGAAGAAGAATGTGTGTCTAAATGCCTAAGGCAAAGATTTCTTAGGGTAATATCTTTTATTAGACCAAGTGCATAGTCGGGATAAAGTTAGACAAGGGGAAGGAGAATTCACCCAGGTCAGTGAGTCTGACCATTGGAAGGAAAGCCCAAAGGAACAGCGTTCCCCGAGTTTGAAGGTTTTGCTTTGGGGAATGCATTTTGGCTGGGCTGAGGAAAAGCCTAAAAGGGCATCGGGGAAGTTTCTTCCTCCCCTCTCAGCCACAGGGGGCGGCCAAGGCCCAGGAGAGCCTGGGTCTTGGGGTTCCTTTGAAGAATTAAGTTATATTTTAAGGGTTTGCGCCTTATATTTTGCCATATTAATATATCTTATGTTTATAAGTATACGTCGATAAAGCTTAAGATTGTTTGAAAACGTATTGAAATTTTTAATCTGATTTTACTGGGCTAAGTATTTGTTAGAGTGTATATATTTGCATTTGATGCTTAAGTAAATTTGGATCTTAATGTTGTATAATATTTGTTGAAACCCAGGTTGGGATCAGGTTTTAATAATTATTTATATCTTGAAGGGTGGTACAAGATTGGATAGATATAACCCATAGTTTATGTTATTTTAGATATATATAATCTCAGGTACCTTTATATGTGTAAATTTTTAATGTAATAGAGTTTTGAGCATATAATCCTTGTTGGGGCTCTTCCCCACCATTTACCTGTGTTTGTCTGTATTTACTTGTTGTTTATTTGTTTTAGATCAAATTGTCTATCTATGTATTGTTTAATGTCATTTAAGGCAATGTAATCTTTTAACCTGTTAGTAGGATATCATGTTATGTGACAATTGTATATTTGTGTATAGATGTTTATCAATATCAATTTCTTGAGATCTTGTACATATTCATATATTTGTATATAGTTAAGTTATAGAGTGTCCTGGCTTGGTTTTCTACAGGAGAAGAAAGGAAGCTGTGTACAGCCAGCAGTTTTCCCCCCACCGCATACCTGCCCTGCTAACATTTCTCTTCAGTTGGAGAGAGGAGTACACAACCAGATACACCCAGGTTACAGCTGTATGGTGCACAGGCAGTGAAGACAGCTCACTGTGCATGTGCCACACAACTGAAGAAGTTAGGGCCACAACCCTTCGCTGTGATCCTGGAGGCCAGTGAGCTTTCTGAACTCAACATGTCAGCATAGCTCCTGCTGGCAGCTCCACATGTGCTGTAAGCTCTATGAGCTCTCTCACTGGCTGGCTGGGATAGGGGTATGGCCAGAGCCTCTACCTGCCTACAGCTCTGGAGCCCAGATGCTGCTGCTTGCTCTTTGATTCACTCCCCACCCTCCTGAATTCAGCAGTAGGGGAAGAGAGGGAATGAGCACTGGAGCTAAGTGCATGCAGGGGCTCTGGGCAGACTGCAGACTCTGTCGACTGGCAGTGAGTTCTCAGGGCTCAGAGCACATGCAGAGCTCCCTACCCTGGGGGTCTTCAAAAGGAGGCTAGATAATCACTTAGCCGGGGTCGTTTGACCCCAGCATTCTTTCCTGCCCATGGCAGGGGGTCAGACTTGATGATCTGCTCAGGTCCCTTCCAACCATGAAACTATAACTATGTTGGTGAGCTCTGAGAGCTCACTGCACATGCTGTGAATAACCAAAGTGGGTGCAACTGTGCCACCATATCCGCTCTGTTCCTGGGCTTGTCTAAAGCCTGCAGTTCAAAGTTAAGATCGCATAAGCATTTTTCCCCTAATGCAAGAACTTGGCTGTGCTAATAAAAGCCACAGTGTAGATATCAGTAAAAAATGTAGCCAATAGAACAGCCTCCATTTGAAATACTAGATTAAGATTATCTTGTCAAAAGATCCCTCTTGACAAGCTACATCTACTCTAAGAGTGGGGTGGGGTTGCAGCTATACTGGCAAAGGCTTTCGGGGTAGACAAGGCCTATGCAATGACAGCTTCTATGGCCTATCCTCTGGGCTTCGATAGGGTTGTGTGCTAGAGTCCTGTGAAGACACTCCTACTCCCAGTCATGTCTCAACTGTTGGTGACTTTATAGTTCCTCTGCTAGCACCACTGATTGACTAATGATCTTACTCAACCTGGATTCTTTGCAAATGTTAGCTACAGAAGGAAACAGTGAAGTGCCTTACTTTATGAGAGTATTAATAAAACATGCATCTTTACCTGTAAGAAAATCTTCAAGGCAGCCCTGTGAGGTTCTGAGCTGGTCTAACACTAGCCAGAATTACCACAGACAATCCATATTCAATAGACCTACTATATTTCCTGAAATCCAGTCAGGTAATCATGTCTTCATAACTGCAACAAGTGGCAAAATTACCACAATGCAACCAAGTGGAATTCAGTACGATTAAAGCCTAACAAAAGTCTTATTTTTCACTTTAAAAACATCGTGGGCAAATGCACAGACATTTACTTCTAAAATCACCTAATATAGCTGTAGAACAATGCACACTGTAACTAAGTCTTGATATAATTTTCTAGACATAAATAGTTCCAAATGTAAACTCTGTTGGTAACCTTATTATTAATATGAACATTGCTCCTGCATTAAATGAGAAGGAAAAAGGGAATCTCTGCACTGAAATTACATACTGTTAATCAAAACTGGGGGAGGAATGGGAATTCACACACAAATGCAAAGACTGATTCTTTGA